ACCCAGCTGCTTGGCGATGGTCTTGTAGCCCATTCCAGCCTTGTGTAGGTCCACAATCTTGTCCCTGACATCCTTGGAAAGCTCTTTGGTCTTGGCCATGGTGAAGAGTTTGGAATCTGGATTGACTGATTGCTTCTGTGGACAGGTCTCTTTTATACAGGTAACGAGCTGAGAGGGCTCCTAATGTCAGCTCGTTACCTGTATAAAATACACCTGGGAGCCAGAGATCTTGCTGACTGATAGGGGATCAAATACTTATTTCATTCATGAAAATGCAAATTAATGTACAACTTTTTTTGTAATGCATTTTTCTGGATTTTTTTTTTTTTGTTATTGTTGTGTCTCTCACTGTTCACATAAACCTACCACTGACATTGTAGACTGATCATTTCTTTGTTAGTGGGCAAACTTACAAAATCAGCTGGGGTTCAAATCATTTTTTCCCTGACTGTATGTCAGAGAGGAGAGAAAGACGAGGATAGACCCAGGCTGCAGGTGAAAGCAGTGCAGGTGACGCCAGTTACGCCAGGGTGAGGAGGGAGGGAGACAGCGCAGGCTTGGGATGTTTAAGATCCCAGTGATATTTTTTACAGGTAAGATGATGTAAACGTAAATTAGCCTGTGTTCAGATGATTAAATGAGTTAGCAAGTTTCCATCTCTCTATGGAACTACAATTAGTTTTTGTATCAGCCCATTTAGATTAACTGTGGGGGAGATGAGAGTTCTTTTGCCGTGCACAAATGGCATATGCCCATATGCATCCTGTGCATGTAGCCTGAGGGAGGAAGAGCAGGATGGGGGGTGGGGGTGTGTGCTGGGGGGCTTGTCCCGGGAATGAGCAAGATGCACGGCAGGTCTGTAGCTGAGAGACACCACGTCTTCACTTGATACATCAGACGGTGTAAAATCTCCGTTAACATTCGTTAACGTTCGGATTTATTATTAAATATAATTTCCCCTCTGTTCTCACCTGTTCTTCATGAGACGGACCTCCCGTTTGCGGGTGACCTCTTCTGTGGCACCCTGAGTGGGGAGAGCAGGGGAAGAAGCCATGACCACGCCCGGGGCGATGGTGCTGGCTGGGGCTGCTCGGATCTGATAGGCCTGGACGTCACCGGAGGCAGCTGAAAGGTGTGGTTGGCATAAAGTGGACGTTATATTTTTGACAAAACCAGTCAGTGTTTAATTTGATTGTGGACTATTTGCTGCTAGCAGCATAAAATGATCCTTATTAGGCAGAAATAGTACCTGCAAGGATGCATGACAAAATAAAATGGGTAACATTCATTTCATTCATTCATTTTCTACCGCTTAGTCCCTGAACGGGGTCACGGGGGGGCCGGAGCCAATCCCGGCCGGCAATCGGGCGAAGGCGGGGTACACCCTGGACAGGTCGCCAATCCATCGCAGGGCTTAAAATGGGTAACACTAACACAGAAATTTCCCCACTGTGGGATCAATAAAGTACCCTACCCTACCCAACCCAACCATCATGGACCTCACTCTCACCTTGGACCACGACCTGGTTACTGGGAACCAGTATCTGTTGGCCATCGCTGGTCTGTGCATACTGGAGGATGGTGGCTCCAGGCTGGGCTGCTGCTGCATTGGTCATGGTCAGAGTTTGAAGGCCCTGAACTCCATCTGTACCGTTATTAGCCAGCTGAATGGCCCCACCCTGTGTGATTGCAACTTTGGAGAAAGAGACAGATGACAAGGAGGAGAAAGAGATTGAATCAAATTGAGGAAAAAATATAAAAAAGAAACAATTAGAATTTTGTTTTATTCAGACTTTGGTATGATCACATCTAACTTTGTTTGGAATTTGGGTAAGAAGCCATAGCAGTACAGAACAGTCTGCCATTCAGCCATTCATGCAAACACATTCTGATGATACCTAGGATGTGTTTGCCTGCTTTAATGCCTTACCTCTTGTTCAATATGAAGCATCACATCATATCTTAATGACAAAATGTTCATGTGAACCACAGAAATGTTGCCTCAGGCAACTGCTGAGTAACCAACTAGCTACTTTAAAAAAAGACTGGGTGGTTGTCCAAATAGCTTTAAACTGTCCATTATACCATAACACATCAATAGGTGGAGTTTCACACCCCAGTCATTATGTCTGCATTACATTAACTTAATCCATTCCACCAAGCCAACCATCACCTACTGTATTGGCCACTGCTGGTCTGGTAGATGGGTGTGGGGACAGTAACGGTGGTAATTGCAGGTGTGGCAGCAGCAGCGGATGAATCCTCCTCAGTCTTTTCCTCCTCGATGCGAGGGACAGCCGGTGCGTCGGATGAAAGGTCGTTCAGGATTTTCCTGTTGGGACAAACAACGGTGTGGCGTGTCAGAGTTAGTGGGATGACACTGACCTGACAGAGAAATCTCACCTTTATTCATGACTTCAATACTCCATAAATATAACAAGACAGATTATTAAAAGAACACATTGGTTTAAAGGATAAGGCTGATCAGTTTCTATATTAACAGGATTTTCAACACTCCCCATACAGAGTGAGATGCCCTGCCGCACTGGGTGACCCCAGACCCGAGCATGAGGATCTTGCAAAATGTAAACAAAGCTGAGAGCTCATGCAAGATCTCATGCATGTGCAGCTGACTCTGGAAATTATGGCCACTCGGAGCCTTTGGGGCAACATAATGAGGTCTGAGGTTTCGAAATGAAAAACAAACAAACAAACAAACAGAAAAAACACATCACCCAGTGCAGTGGCATGTTGACCTGATGTGTATTTAATCATTTTTGAACAACAGAGGTGGTCTACAGCACAGACAAACAAGCTAATCCAGGACTGATCCACTGACGGACATCAAATGTGAGCAGAGGCTAATCATTTTCAGTTTGAGTCTCAATATGGGGATTGCTGAATATATTATTCATATATAAAAAGACCGGCTTTATCCTTTAGACAGATCTTCATCTCCAGTTTTAAGGCACCTCTAAGCCAAAAGTTTGCTCTGTGTCTTTCTGCTGGATGATTATCACCATAGTTTCCAGTAAACAAGGCTCTTTTGCAGTAAGCACAGCCACAGAGGTTTTAGAGTTAACTTACTGATAGTAAGGAGCAGAATGGGTAGAAAATTAACAAAACCTGATTTTATACCCAATAAGCCAGTAATAAAATCAATAATTGGTGTTTGCACTGCAAAACAAGAACAATTATTATATTTTGCATTATTCATTATATTAAAATGCTCATCAATGCAGGTGAATGCCCTTAAAAATGTTAAACAATAACCTACTTATCTGTAATTTCTTATAACATTATGATGGCATTTAAAACTTTTAGGTAGTTTTTGAATTATTTATAGGATTATCATGATGGTCTTGGCAATCTCATTAGTGTGCTGCAAACACACACACACACGTGTCACCTGTATGAGGGGCGTCGTGACAGAATCTCTCTGCGTTTCTGAGAGTCGGTCACACTGTCTACTGACTCCTGAGAATCCTCACTTTCTGCTATAGTGGAAATCTGGAACAAACGTGTAACCCAAACAAAAATGCATCAAACAAACCTTCAAATTTCATGCTGCTTATGCTGTGGCTGAACATGAAACACCTAAAACTGGGAGTGTGTGTGTGTGTGTGTGTGTGTGTGTGTTACCTGTACAGCCTGGACCTGTGGGGACTGGATAACAGACGGCTGTGCAGCCTGGATGACACCGTGGACTTGAACCGTCTGTCCGTTGGGAAGCTGAACCAGTGTTACCGTGGGACCTGTTGCTGAGGCGTGGCCTGTTGTCATGGATACCTGAAATTCAGACATGACAACTGTGTCTGCCATGTGCAGTTTAACGTGAACTGTTTTTTGAACATGTGTGACATTCAGCAGTGGTTATTTTCAAAACGTACAGTACAGAGTGTAAACCTCATCTGTCAGTTTATTAGGAACCCCGACCTGAAACTAAGTCACTCTAATCCAACAGTCCTACAATAAATCCTACTTCATGAAGGTGACTGTGTACTATTAGTGTTCAGACTGTTTCAGAGCTGTTGAGTCAGTTGTGTGATCATTTTGGAGGCTGTAGTTCGTGCTGCGGTTCAACTGTTCCTGTTATTCAGCCCAGCCTCACTGATATAAATGGGGTGGACAAAATAATAGAAACATCTATTAGTGTAAGACAAGGAAATTCAAAAGTAGCACAGGCTACATCTGTGGCGGTAACAGTGTTTACATTAGCTGCTACCTGTGCCAAAGTAGCGATCTGTGCAGGGGTGATCTGCTGGTTCTCCGTCTCAGTCGCTGCAGTCTCCGCCCCCTGCTGAGCCTCCACTGCTGATTCCATCTTCATTGGCTGAGCTGACAACGGAGATTTGAAGAGAGGCCATTAAAAATAACCATTTATGTGGAGCTGCAGCCACAGAACCTGTATTATCCGAATCACCAACTGTTTATGTACTGAAACTATTAAGGAAACCGTGTAAACTGAAACCCACACACAAATCAAATCAAATCAAATTTTATTTGTATAGCGCCAAATCACAACAAAAGTCATCTCAGGACACTTTACAAACTAAGGTCTAGACCTTACTGTTATCAATATTATTACATAGGGAAAACCCAACAAATCCCCCTTGAGCAAGCACTTGGCGACAGTGGGGAGGAAAAACTCCCTTTAACGGAAGAAACCTCCAACAGACCCCGGCTCTTGGTGGGCGGCCTTCTGCCTCGACCGGTTGGGGTGAGTGGATAGAGGAGAGACAAAAGAAGAAAAGCAACAAGACACAACAATCAAACACTGATCAGGTCGATGTGGCCGGTGACTGCT